ACATGCTGGACCCGGGTCTGGATCCCGCTGCCTCGGCCACCGCTGCTGCCGCCGCCAGGTAAGCGCGCCCGGAGGGCCGAAGTATCCGCGCGCGGCCCCGGGCCCCCCCCGGCCTTCCCAGCCCGCGCGCCGGGGCCGCCATGATCCCGAGCGGCCCGCCGGGCCCGGCTCAAAATGGAGGCCGCGGGGAGGGGGACGGGGCGGCCCGGGCTCTGGAACGGCGCTGACCCTGGTGGGGCTCCAGCCTGGAGGGCGGGCGGCGGGGTCCTGCAGCCCGTAGAGGGGCGCTGACCCCGACCCTCACCCCGGTGTGCCCTCCTCGCAGCCACGACAAGGGACCCGAGGCCGAGGAGGGCGTCGAGCTGCAGGAAGGTGAGTGCTTGCGGGGCCACCGGGGCTGGGGGCCGGGGCGTGGACTGTCGGGCCCCCCGCGTGCCCCGCTGAGCCTGCCCCCTGCCCTGCTGTCCCCGCAGGCGGGGACGGCCCCGGGGCGGAGGAGCAGACAGCAGTGGCCATCGCCAGCGTCCAGCAGGCGGCGTTCAGCGACCACAACATCCAGTACCAGTTCCGCACAGAGAATAATGGAGGACAGGTGAGGCGGGCCGGGAGCCCCGGCGGCCCGCGCCGGACTAGGCCGGGCGGAGCGGAGGGAGGGCGGACGTTTGCATGCGGCCGGGCTGGGAGAGGCTCCGACCCGTCCCCGGTACACAGCTCGGGGCCCCAGCGTCCGTCTCGCCACTCTGCCGCCCCCTGCAGGTAACATACCGCGTAGTCCAGGTGACTGATGGTCAGCTGGACGGCCAGGGCGACGCGGCCGGCGCCGTCAGCGTGGTGTCCACCGCTGCCTTCGCAGGGGGGCAGCAGGCGGTGACCCAGGTGGGTGTGGATGGGGCAGCCCAGCGCCCCGGCCCCGCCGCTGCTTCTGTACCCCCAGGCCCCGCAGCACCCTTCCCGCTGGTAGGTGCCTAGCAATTTCTGGGGATGGGTGGGGTGGGGGAGGGGAAAGCCCCAGGGGGTGGGACAGGTGGCACACAAATGCTACCCCATTAGGCCATCAATGTGGAATCAGATTGCTGTTTTGCAGAGTGAATCATTGGGCAGGTCTTTTGGAATCGCTGTTTTCTATAAAATGGAAACCAAAGCCCCTTAAAGAGTAGAGTAGTTTAGCAAGTGATAGTTGAGTCTTTTGACAGGGAGTGTCAGAGACCTGAGACATAGGGCAGAATGGTACACACTGAAGGCTTCCCTTTCCCCTCAGAGAATACGCTTAAGCACACACCAAGCCCAGCAACAAAGGTGGGATAGCTGGGATGGCTAAGGATGGCCTATGTGTCCTCCTCCCCAGGCTGTAATCCAAAATCCATTCAGCAATGGTGGCAGCCCAGCGACAGAGGCTGTCAGCGGGGAGGCCCGATTTGCCTATTTCCCAGCATCCAGTGTGGGAGATACCACGGCTGTGTCTGTTCAGACTACAGACCAGAGCTTGCAGGCCGGAGGTAAGGGAGGAAGGGATCTGGGGGCAGAGTTAGGGAAGCCCCTCAGCCAGTTCTGCCTTCACCCCTGTGTTGGTGCTCACCTCACATTTCCTGCAGGCCAGTTCTATGTCATGATGACACCCCAGGATGTGCTTCAGACAGGCACACAGAGGACGATTGCGCCCCGGACACACCCCTATTCTCCGTAGGTGCTTTCTTTACATTGTTGGGGCTGAGGGAAGGGAGGGTTTTCTGGCCTAGCTGCTGAGCAGGTCAGTATACAGCAGGCATGGGGTGTGGGTTTTGACAGCTTTAGCCTTTGAAGTTAAAGTTTCATTTCCTCTCTCTGTACATGGACTTTTGCAAAGAAAGTTGTCTAGGGTTGGGGCTGTAGCTCAGTGGTGGAACACTTCACAAAGCCCTGGGTTAAATCCCTAGTACCATAAAAACAAAGGTAAATGTGTCAAGTCTGGTAGTTTGATAAATGCTTGGATAGATGGGTCTGAGATAGTGTCTGTTGTTTCTCCTCCTTCTAGGAAAATCGACGGAACGAGAACCCCTCGAGATGAGAGAAGGAGAGCCCAGCACAATGAAGGTGAGAATGGGATGGGGCTCCTGGCCAACCTGGGCCTCAGCCTCCCAGGAACAGCCAGTCCTTCATGGAGAGTCACCAGCAGGGCCCACTTGAGCCCATTGCTTTGGTGTGCCAAGGTGCTAGAGAGGCAGCATGTTTAATACTGAAAAGGTCAATGACAAACAGTAAGGTGTTAAGGGAGGTAGAGGGAATGAACTGGGCTTGACCAGATTTATTGTCATACCCAGCTTTTGTTTGATCTAAAGGCCAGCATCTTAAAATGGCAGACTTCACGTTCACATGTAGACTTCCTGAGTCTGTTGAAAAACTGGGGTGATCTGACTCCACTGGACCAACCTTTTCATGTGCGGCATTTGTGCCCTCATCCCTCATTCCTAAACTACCTGCCCTCCAGCCATAGCTGGGGAGCATGTATGAGGAGGAGTTGTGTCCCTGCCCATCTGAGGCCTGAGCATCCTATCTTTCCCAGATGTAACATGTCCCACCCTGAGGTCTTTTATCCTTCATTTCTATTCCCTGGTCTCCCTGCCTTGATTGGTCACCACCATAAAGTACATAACAGCCCACAAGGTGAGGCAGCTCTAACACCCAAACAACCACCACTCAACAAATATTTACTGACCCTGCATCCCAGGCAGGGTGGGGCAGCACAGGCCCCGTGCCAGGTCTGTAGCCTGGCCTGTTGCGGGTGCTAAAGTAGTAGGATTTGTGGCTGAGGATGAATGCTGAGAGGTTAAGGGAGGTTGCCCTTAACCTGCCTAAGAAGCTTGGTCTGGAAGCTTAGTGCAGGCTGGAGAAGGTCTGGTGGTTTCAGGGGTACTGTTTGGTTGTGGCGGAGGTCTGTGTGGTTTCTTTGAAAAGGAACCAGGAAGAAGGCCTTGAATGCCCAAGTGAGCCCTAAGACTTGAAGTGTGCTGCTCTGTTGTAGAATCAGTGATCAATCAAGGCAGGGCAAACAGGGAACAGCTTTCAAACAGTGCACATATATCTGTGCCAGCCCCTTCTACGCTTTAGATGCAGTGGGTAGGAGAGACAATGCAAAGGAGAGATGTGGGCTCTCAGCATTCACTGGTAGGAGACAAGCTGCACATGGCTACCATGTGCCCTCAGGGTGCTAGAATACTTGCAGAGGCAGGAAGCTGGGTGAGGTGGAGTGGGGTGGTGGGCCTGTGTTCCTGAGGCCTCTCAAGATGGCATTTGAGCAGAGGCCCAAGGGGACCTTAGGGAACAGGCTTCTCATGGATCTGAGGAAGCCTCAGAGGGGGAAGAACATAGGCAAATGCCCAGGCCTTGCCACAAACACTTTGGGTTTGAGGAAGAGCAGAATAGGGAAGGGAAAGAGGAACGTCTCAGAGCTGAGGTGGAGCCTTCCCACTGGGACAGCTCACTGTTGACTACCTCACTCCTCTAGAGAAGTCTTCCCAGAGTACTTGTCCCTGGCCTGGAGGTATAGTCAGGTGGCGGGGAGAGCCAGCATGGGGTCTGTGGGATAAGATGGTGAGAAACCAGAGAGTTCCAGTGCCTGCTGGGAAGGGGAGACCAGGCCTGAGGTGGCAGGATGTGAAGAGTGGGCATGGAGAGAAGGCTGGAGCTGCTGGGTCAGCGGGGCCTCTTGCTCAGGTCAGGTGGCTTTGAAAAGGAAAGGATGAACTGGTGCTTGAACTTGGTTTGGAGGTGATATGGAGGGATTTTAGGGCCCTCCAATGGGTTACTAAAACTGTTAGGGCTCCTCCACTGAACTCAGATTGGATTTTAACTCTTTGCATCTGTCTTCCTGTGTAAAATAACCCTAACAGCCCCCAAAGCTCCCAGGAAGCACGTGTGAGTAGACTGATGTGCCCCCTTCCCGTGCCCCAGTGAACAACTGTGAGTAGAGACTCCTTGGAACCCAATGCTCCCAGTTAGTGTAGTAGAGGCTATGAAGCCCCCCAGTGTACTCAGTGAGCACTGCTGACTGTGAAGCCCCCAGTGAGCATGTGTGAGCCCCCAAACGATCCTAGTGAGCATGTGTGACTGGAGACATTCAAAGCCTTGGCCAGTGAGTAGTGTGTTGCCAGGAAAGACCAGGGAGTAGGGCCCTATTGGTGCCAGGCAGTTGTGGCGATGACCACCTGCTGCCCAGCTTACCCTGTCTCACTCTGGATTCATCCAGCTCGGTTTGGGTGTTGTCCTCCTCCAACAAGCGGTCTTCATAACCTTGCCTGCCTTCCAGCTCCAGCCAGCCCTCTAGCTCCCAACCTGCAGGTTTGGCCCACCATCTGCCTGCCTGTCCTTGTCTTGGCAGTCTGGCTTTACCAGACTGGCTCCATTGAAGGTCACCTGTGACAACCTCCATTGCCAAATTCCCTGGCTTCTTTCCTGTCAGAATTCTGAGCATCTGACCCTGCTTGTCACCGCCCCCCCCGCCCCCCTTCAAGAATGTTCCTTCTTGCTCTGCTCTTTCGCCTCCCCTTCTTGTCTCTCCTTCCCCATCTGCTCCTCACAACCTAGGGAGAGCCCTGAGGTTCTGAATAACTGACAATGGTCAGGGAAACCCAGGAGCCTGTTTCTAACCCGGGGAAGCAGCTTTGGCAGTAGGTGTTTCTTAAGGTCAGGGTCCTTCTACTAGAAAGTATAATCCAGGAGGCTCAAAGCTCTGATCCCCACGGCTCATCTGCAGCCACAAGGGTCCCTCATTCTTTAGAAAGGCCAGTGAGCCACAAAAGCGATACCTGCCCCTTGCTGTCCTCACAGGGGTTGGCCCACCAACCTGGTACCTGGGATGCCCAAGGTCTTGCTTTAAAAGTATTGTTAACAAGCCAGACGTAGTGGTGCACGCCTTTGATCCAGCACTCGGGAGGCAGAGGCAGGCGGATCTCTGTGAGTTTAAGGCTACCCTGGTCTACATAGTTTTAGAGACCCTGTCTCAAGGAAAAAGACCAAAAAAAAATATATATATATATATCATTAACAAATCTCCATTTCTGGCCATCCTTGCCACCGCAGATTCAACTTGTCCAAACAGAACACATTGTCTCCCCTCCCTGAAGGCGCCTGTGCACCCTTTCCTTCCTCAGGCATCAGAATGCAGCCCTTGACTGGGTTACCAGAGCCAGAAATAAGGCAGCGCCACTTTGAGTCTACCCTCTTCTTGCCCAAGACTGTTTCCCTATATCCCTATATCATCAATTTCCCTATAGGCCCCCCCTTCCTGTTCTGTGGAACCTGGGAGTAGAGGGGTGGGGGATGCGCCTGAAGGACCCTAAGAGAGCAGTGTACCTTTGCTGTCTCAAAGGGGTGTGGATACCTCAGTGAGCTGGGGGGTGTGAGTCAGCCTGCTGTTACCATGGCAGAATTTAAGCTCACTAGTGATGGGATGAAGAACTTAATTTTTTTAAACAGGGTCTCACTATATTGAATTAAAGGTGTGTGTCGCCACATCTGGCTGCAGATCTTTACAGGAAACCTGACTTTAAATACTGAGCTGTATTGCTTTTTAAATTTTTATTGTTTTCTTTCTGTTGTTTCTAATTCATTCCTTCTACTTTGGATTTTAATTTATGGTGGGATTTCTGTTGTTTTAAGGAGGTTCTGTTTTGTTTTGGTGCTGGGATTGAGCCTGAGTCCTGGAGCTCTGCCATGGAACTGTGCCCCGGCCTTCCTTTACTTTTTGAGCCCGTCTTGCTAAGTTGCCTAAGCTGGCCTTGAACTTGGAATCCTCCTGCCTCAGACTCCTTAGTAGCTGGGGTTATAGGTCCATACCCCATAGCTGAATTGCTTTCTTTGTCTGCACCCCCTATATACTTGTTTTGTTTGTTTGGGGGCCTGTTCTTGTTTTTGTTTTTTGAGACAGGGTCTCCCTGCAGCCCCTGCTGGCCTGGAACTTGACCAGGCTGGCCTCCATCTCACAGAGATCTTCCTGCCTCTGCCGAGTGCCCAGCACTTGGGAGTCTGAAGCAGGAGAGTTGCAAGTTTGGGACCAGTGTGGACTATGTAGCAGGATCCTGTCCTAAGGAAAGAAAAAGAAAAGAACAAACCTGTTTTTCCTAATGCAAATCTTTATGGCTGCAGACCCAGCTAACACTGTCCTGTTTGGATGGATCCTGTTTTTATCGTTCAGATCAAAATATTTTCCAATTTTCCTTATGATTTCTTCTTTGACCATTGGGCTGTTTAGGAGTCAAAGTTGCTTAATTTCCAGACATTTATGGGGTTTCTGGGTATCTTTTGTTAATTGGTTTTTGGTTCTGTGTGTTCAGAGAATAGTTGATGTGGTTCCAGTTCTTTGAAGGTATAGGATTGCTTTGGGCACTGCATACGGTCTAGTGTGAGAAGGCGCCATGTGTACAGGTGCTGTGGAAGGAGATTCCCTCTAGGGTGAAACCAGGTTGGCTGAGAGTGCCGGAGTTTCTGGCCTGGTTGTTTGGGTTTTGTTTTTTTCCTGTGTCTTTAGTGGAAAGAGGCATGCTGATATCTTGGTGTAGATTTCTCTGGCTGTCCTTTTGGTCCTGGCAGGTTGTACTATGGGATGTGTTTTAAGTGCTGTAGATGACCGTGGCACTTTTCTGAGATGACTGACATTGGCCTCTGCCGTTCCAGTGTGCCCTCCGTAATGCTCTTCCCAGGCCATAGGTCTGACCAAGCCACCACCTGGACACAGACTGTGGACAACCTATTTGTACAACCTCTTCCCATCCCCTCATGTGTGGTTCATGTCACATTTGTGTAGTCTTGCTATCCATCTGCCTGGGGCTTGTCTTCTGCAGATTCTATCCTGGGTCCCATGCAGAAAGCCTCGCCCACCCTGGCCTTGGCAGAGCACTCTGCACCAAGGTCGTAATACATGCACTGAGGGCTCAGTTCACATCATTTCACAGTGGCACCATGAGCACCAACAGGACAGAGCAGGGTTGAATCTCCCTAGCTCCAGCCGTGTATGGGATTCAGTGCAGACTGAAGGACCCATCTCTGCCCCTGGTGACTTTTACTGAGATGTTCCTGTGAGAAAGGGTACTTTCCAGTGCCCAGGCTCAGAAGACAGCCAGCTGTGGAGGCTGGGGAGGACTGTAGAACCCTCGGGTAAAGCACCTGTAGGAACTTGGTGGCTGGTGCTTCTGGGCACTGGCTGGACTCAGCTTTGCTGCTGCATTTGGCCACTTAAGTTCCCACAGGATTCTGCCACCCTGGCAGGGTCTGCTCACCAGGACTGTGGCAGTGAGCTAACCCTGAGCTAGAGCTAGAGATGTATCCTAGCCCCTGCCCAGCTCGGTCCGGCCGTGTTCTCAGTGGGAGTGGGAGGAGAGTCACCCCTGGAAAGTTAAGTCACTCAGGCCAAAGTGGGAGGCTCCTAGAAGTGGACAAACTGGGCTCTGCCTGCTCCTGGGCCCTTGGGTCCATCCCCTAAGGGAACTGTGCTTGGCTGAAGAGGCTGAGCTTAGGTATGAAGAGAAACTAGCCCGCCCTTACCCACCCCTCACCTAGAGCTTTCCCTGTTTCCATCCCCACACCCCATCTCCTTGCCCTCTTCCCTCAGCCCACTGGGCCTTCTTTTGTGCCCCAACAGTGGGAGTCCTGTGCTGTAGGGATAATGAAGGACTGGTAGCCCTGCCTCAACAGAGTCTGAAACTAGGGTTCCAGACTCCAAGGCAGGTGGCTCCTGGCCTGCATCCTGGGCATGTGATAAGGGCCAGAGGGAAGAAGGCACAAGCTTATCAGGGGGAAAGTTGTCACTCCAGTTAGCTGACAGTGGGCTATTGTGGAGTTTCATAAAATCAGAAGCCTGGACTTCCAAATGAAGTCTTGTTCATCCTTTGTCTGCCAAGTATAGGTTCACAATCCCAGGTGAGGTGATGTCCCCAAGCCAGTGATGCCCCCAGGGCTGAGCCCCTTGAGAGCCCAGCTCTCTTCCGGGGAGCTAGTTTGCCAAGGCTCCAGAGGAGAATTTTAAATGGACAGGTCATGATTGGATTTTGACATTAGAGATGAGAAGGGGCTGCCCTGTAGCTCAGTTGGTAGAGTACTTGCCTTGTATGTACGAAGAATAAAGCTGGGCAGAGTGGCTGCTTGGGAGGTGGAGGCAGGTGGATCAGAACTTAGGGGTCATCCTCAGCTACATATTGAGTTTGAGGCCAACTGGCCTACATGAGAGACTGTCCCCAAGGGGGAGAAAAAAGCTGAGAAAAACAAGATTATAGAAGTCAGCTTCTGGAGACACAGGGAAGAAAGGGAGCTGTAGGGTAGTGGGTCCTATGTGAGGTCATTTTGTAACCCTCACTGCCATATGAGCGCAGTGCCCAGAGCTTCGTTTTTCAATGGAAGCCAAAGTACAATATGAAAATTCCTAGTCTTAAAATGTTGACTGCAATCTTTCTACGTGTGCTGCAGCCAGTCAGTTTTGGTGTCTGACAGTGGCACCTGAGGGTTGAAACTTGGTCAGTCTTCCTGTGAAGCAGTAGGGCCCATGAGGAGGTGGCTACCTGGGGTCCCATGAGGGGCCCTTGTGTAGCACCATGATGAGGTGCCCTACATTGGGTACAGTGGGCCTGTCCACGAAGCCATGACTGTCACTGTCTCCTGCAGTGGAGCGGAGGCGGAGGGACAAGATCAACAACTGGATTGTCCAGCTTTCAAAAATCATTCCAGATTGTAATGCGGACAATAGCAAGACAGGAGCAGTGAGTACCCCCAGGCCTCGGTCCCTTCCAGGAAGTCTGGCTGACCCCAGGCCCAGGAGCTGTTCTGTTCCCCTCTCACTCTTGCCCACCCTCCACCCCAGAGTAAAGGAGGCATCCTGTCCAAGGCCTGTGATTACATCCGGGAGCTGCGCCAGACCAACCAGCGCATGCAGGAGACCTTCAAGGAGGCCGAGCGGCTGCAGATGGACAACGAGCTCCTGAGGCAGCAGGTGGGTGCTAGCCTGAAGCCCAGTTGGGGACCCAGGACACCAAGGGCCAGTCTGGCTCATGTGTCCTCTGTCATGCCTGCAGATCGAGGAGCTGAAGAATGAGAATGCCCTGCTTCGAGCTCAGCTGCAGCAGCACAACCTGGAGATGGTGGGCGAGAGCGCCCGACAGTGACACTTCGCCAGGCCTGCCGTGCATCTGCTGCCGGCCCCTGTCCCTTCCCCAGCCCTTAGCACAGAGAGGGAGATGCCCCTCCCCAAGCTGCGTTTTTTTATAGTAGATTTTTAACAAAAAAGAGGAGACATAGTGCATTTCTGTGGATACATTGCCCACCACCCTCCTCCATGCGAAAATAATTGCCCACCTGCCCATCTGTCCGTCAGCCTCCCTTCTCAGCCCTCACCAGGCCCATCCCTTCTAGTGGGCTCACTGGGGAGGTGTGAGGGAGGAGGGCAGAGGCCCCGCCTGCCACCTCCTTGGTCTCTAGAGGTACTGAGACAGGGTGCTTATGGGAAGGAGGGCGTTTGGGGGGGCCTTCCCTGGGGCCTGGACCTATGCAGGGAGGCCACGCCCCCCCACCCCTCTTGTTTCTGGATCCCTGCTCCCCTCTGGATGTGTGTGTGTGTGTGTATGTGTGTGTATGTGTGTATGCACGTGTGTGTGGGTGCGTGTGTGTTTTAATTTTCTTTATGGAAAAATGGACAAAAAAATAGAGAGAGAGGTATTTAACTGCAATAAACTGGCCAATGTGGCCCCCGCCTTGTCTGTCTGTGTGTCTGTCTATCTTGGGCATGGGAACAGGTTGGGGTCCATGGGTGTACCTTGTGGTCCAAGCTTCATTTATGCTATGGCTGTGTGCCAGTCCCTGATGCCCTGAGCCACCTGGCTGGATGTCTGGGGAATTACAGACTGAGTACCCTCACTGAGGCCCTGGGGTACAGATAGGGGTGTGGAAGCTGGGGTCAGGGACATGTCCCCTGTTAAGAGGAGAGGCTAGGGTCTCCCAGGTCAGCACTTCCTGAAAACAGGGCTGGCACCCGTCCCTGGGCTCTAGATCTGAAGCCCTCCCCTCTGCACCAGCCAATGATGGGGCCTGGCCTTGAGCCCCCCCACCCCCAAGGGAGGGCAGATGGCCAGGAAGCCGGGCTTGGCCCGGCAGCCTGTCGCCTCATACAGTGTCTCTGGCGCCTGTGTGGTGACCCCTGCCCTTGGCTGATGATGAAACCTGTCCTGAGCTGCCACAGTGATGCCTGGCAGGACTGGGGGATGCCCCATGTCCCTAAGGGAGATTGGTGCCCCCCATTCTGCTCAGCCACCCCTAGCATCTGGGCTTGCCTGTCACTTGGTCTTGCTGAGCATCCTACCCTGCCCCCAACCTTACTGCCCCATCAGCCTCTTCCCTCCCGTAGCCCTGCCACTCCTTTGAAAAGCCATCTTTGAGAGAACAGGGTGTGGGGGGCTGAGGAGCCACACTAGAAGGACAGCAGCAGTGCCCAGGCTCAGGATGGGGTTGACACTGGATGGCCCCTGCATGAGCCAGGCATAGTGGCCTGTCTGTGGAACGAGGCTTGTTATTGTCTTGGGCCATGTGCACCAGGAAGTGGTCCAGGTAGTAAATAGGAAGATACCACAGTTAGTCTTGGCTTATCCTTCAGTACCACTGAAGGAACCAGCTGTAAAACCCCTGGTGTGTAGTGGGTGCCAATTTCCGTGGTGCAAATTCCCCCAGCATGCCGGTTTAGAAGGTTCTGGCTTGATAACACTGAACATGGAGTTGTATGAAGGGCTTAGTCTGCTAAGCCAGGTGTAATGTGCCACTGCGGCCCCCTGCTTATGTTGACCCTCAACACTAGCAGAGTCCAGGACCAGGCAGGCAGCTGCTTGGAAACCAACTAGCACCTAGAGTTAACATGGGGGTGTGCAAGACCCAGGAGAATTAGTACATGTGCTGTACGTAAAACAAGTGAATCAGCATGTATGTTAGGCTGTAAAACGCATTTATTAGGTGCTAGCTACATCGCTGACTGCCATTATCATGGGCAAAAGGTGACACATCTTGAGTTCCTGACATTGGACATGATGATGTGTGCTGGGGCTCAAGCTGACAAACTCTTCTGTGCATCTTGACTAGCCAGTGTCTCATCCTGTGCCTGTGTACCCAATGGGATGCCCCTCCCCCTACCATAGTGGGCTCTTCTGAGGGGCCCAGTGAGACACTCAAGGGGTAAGGGGGCACTGCTTCCTCTCACTAACCTGATCAATGTCTGGGGGAAATGGGAATTTTTCTGAGATAACAGGATGATGTCACATTCAGGGAAATAGTTCCCCAGGTGGCTGGCTAGAAGCTTGTGTCTGTAGCCTCATCTGCCCCACCCCCTGGACACACCTCTGCTGACAGAATTGACACAACTCTGCCCCTGTCACTGTTCCTGCTTATCTGTCCGCCTTTTCGGCGCCACTACCTTCTGGGAAATGAGTTGGATCGAAGGGGAGGGGGTTCAGACCACAGGCCCCATAAAAGGAACTGGAACTAGATCCTAGACAGCAGAGCAAGTCCTAGACTGCACAGTGGGACAGGTGGACAGCATGATGGCACTGAATGCTCAGATCCGGGTCTTCTGCCTCCTCCTCCTCCTCCTTGCCAGTCTGACCAGTGGCACTGTTCTGCAGCAACAGGTGAGCACCCCAGGCCCACTGGGATTGACAGCCAGATTCCTGGGACTGCAGGGGAGACAGCTGGGTGACCCAGAGCACTGAGTGCTCAGGATGGCTTAGGGGAGTAGGAACTATTGAACAGGTAAGGATGGACTTGAGTAGAGGGGCTAAGGACCTGGCTCTAGCTGCAAAAGTGTCATTATCAACTCTGTCAACTTAGTGTAGACAGAATAACACAATGGACACAGTGGAAAATAGGTAAGATTTTTGTTCCTATAGAGCTTCCATCTGGTCAGAGCATTCCTTAATGAGCAATTAGATAATTGTGTTTTGTAAATGCTTACTTTGTGAATGACTTAAAAGATGTTAATAGAGTGACCATGAGGAGGAGAGACCAGAGGTGGGGTCCAGAGGCTGTCAGTCAAACTAAAATATTTTGTAAGAAAATTAGGCCAACCTGGTGGCACATGCCTTTAATCCTGGCACTCAGGAGGGGGAGACAGGCAGTTGGATCTCTGTGAGTTTGAGGCCAGCCTAGGTTACATAGTGAGTTTTAGGCCAGCCAAAGCTACATAGTGAGACCTTGAAAATGATACAGGACCAAGCTTGGTGTGATGACACAGGTCTGTAATCCTAGCACTCAGAAGGTGGAAGTGGGAGGATCAGTAGGTCAAGGTCACCCTTGACTACATAGCAAGTTTAAAGCCAGTCTGGGCTATGCGGGAGCCTGTCTCAAAACAACAAACCACAGCAGCAAAAGAGATGCTAGATTTGTTCCTGGGAGAGGGGGACAGCAAACAAGCACCTGGGGGAAGGGCAAGGATGGGACCCTTCGGGACTGGAGGATCTGAGAAGTGGAGATGACGTCGTGCAGGCTCACAGCAGGCCAAGTCTTGTGGACTGTTGTGTAGACACTGGTTGATCCTTGAAGTGTTGAGAAAGCCCTGTGGCTTTCAAGATGGGAAGAACCACAATCCAACTGACAATGCTAAAAGTCACTGTGTTATGTAGCGACTCAACTGTAAGGGGTAAGATGCAAGGAGACTTGTCAAGAGGGCAGCATCCCAAAGGAGAGTACAGTGACAGAGAGAAGGAAGAAAAACTGCCCAAGGAATGATGGGAAAAACAAAGCCAGTTAAACACCGACGTTGCCAAGCCCTTAGGGGAACGTACAGGTTGGTGGAGGCACATTCTGCTGGGGCCTCTGCAATCTTCAATACCCAATACCCGTTCTGCTTTCACAGATGAGCCACATTACAGAGCTACAGCCTCGGTACACAGAGGAAGCCAAAGCCAGCAGGACGGTGAGAGAGAGAGCAGGCTCCCTCCCTGGTCCCCTGCCCTTCCCATGCCCAAGCCAAGCCTCTCATTCTCTCTCCCTTCCCATAGCTCCTGTTCCAGAGGCGAAGGAAGCGAGATACCCATTTCCCCCTCTGCATGTACTGCTGCAAGTGCTGTAAAAACCGAGGATGTGGGGTGTGCTGTATCACATAGATCTGCCTCCCCTTGATCCCCCGACCTCACCCCAGCTCCCCACTTATTTATTCCTGTCACTCTTCTTGAAATAAAGTGGCTGACTCTTGTTTTCAAACTAGTGTCTGTTATCTTTTCTTATTGCAAGGGGTTTGTTGTGACCCCTGCCTTGGAGGTGGGGCAGGGGGAGCTCATGACACCTGCAGGTTAGTATGTACTGGAGGCTGCTACATAGTTTGGTGAGACCATTTGTCTCCTCTTTGTCACCTGGTTTCCTTCTTCAAAGATCTGGAACTTAGGTTGCAAAGCAGGGCAAGAAAGTTGAATGAAGTTACAAAGTTATGTCTCTTTCTTTCTTCCTTTCTAAGTTTCTTTTTCTTTTTTTTTTCTTTTTTCTTTTGAGACAGGGTCTCCCTGTAGCCCCAGCTGGCTTAGAACTTGCTATGTAGACCAGGCTGGCCTTGATCTCACAAAAGTCTACCTACTTCCGCCTCCTGAGTGCTGGGATTAAAGGTCTGTGCTACCATGCCTGGCTCAGGTTTTTTTTAAATTATGTGTATGTGTGGGAATGTGCACATGTTGGTGCAGGTGCTGGTGGAGGCCAGAAGAGGGCATCAGATCTTCTGGAGCTGGAGTTACAGGCAGTTGTGAGCTGCCCTACTTGGGTGCTGGGAACTGAATTCAGGTTCTCTGTAAGAGCAGTAAGTGCTCTTAAATGCTATGCCATCTCCCCAATCCCCTCAGAGTCTTCTTAAAGTCAAGAGTCACAACTCAAATGCTTAACAAATGTTCTCAGGCTAAGATCCAGTACTCCTTCTGGGGTTCCAGAAAATGGAGACTATTAAGATATTATTTGTGGGTGCTGAAGATGACTCAGCAGTTAAGAGCACTGGCTGCTCTTGCAGAAGACCTGGGTTCGATTCCCAGCACCCACATGGCAGCTGACAAGTGTTTGTAACTCCAGTTCCAGGGGATCTGAAGTCCTCTTCTGACCTCCGCGGGCATTGCACGACACGGGTGCACTTACATACATGCAGGCAATACACTCATACACATAAGAAATAAAAATAATAAATAAAATGTTTTAAAACTTATTATTTGCCATTTCCACTCTTGAGTGTATAGGGGAGTCCTTCTGAGGCCCTGTGACATGGTGACATCATAGCCCTGCTGGCTGATGAGGCTGTGTGCTTGGGTATCTGTGTGTAACAAGTGATGGCTTTGTTTCATAGGAGCATCTTGAGTTGTAGTCTCTCAATAAGTACACACTTGGCACATGTAACACACAGGCGACATTGGAATCCACAGAAATTAAATTCCTTCCATTGTGGTTGCTCTGCTTAAAGAAAGTAATAATTGAGCCGGGTGTGGTGATGGATGCCTTTAATCCAGCAGTCCGGAGGCAGAGGCAGGCAGATCTCTGTGAGTTCAAGTTCAGCCTGGTCCATATAGTGAGTTCCAGGCCAGCTGTAGCTACAGGAAGACTCTGTCTCAAAAAGACCAAAAAATTTAAAAAGTAATAATTGGGGCTGGTGAGATGGCTCAGCGATTAAGAGCACTGTCTGCTCTTGCAGAAGATCCAGGTTCGATTCCCAAGTGTTATATTGACAGGTATGATCCACCATACCAGTTTAATCACCTTATTTATATTTGAATGCCTGTGTATGCATGTTTGTATGTGTATGTAGAGGCCAGAGATTAATGTCAGGTGTTTCCTCTATTATTTTCCCACTTTATTTTTTTGAGACAGAGTCTCATTATATTACCAAAGCTAATCTGGAACTCACTATTTAGACCCTGCTGGCCTTGAACTCAGAGAATTCTGCCTGTTTCTGCCTCCCTCCTGAGTGCTGGGACTAAAGGCATGTGTTAGCATACCTTTCCACCTTAATTTTTAAGATAGCATTTCTCACTGAACTTGGAGCTCACCAATTCAGCTAAACTAGCTGCCAGCGAACCCCAGGGATCTACCTGTCTCTCCCTCCCCAGTACTGGGATTATAAATGTTTGATGCCACACCTGACTTTCAATGTGGGTGCTGGGGACTCAGGCCCTCATGCATGCAAACACTTTACTCACTGAGCCATCTCCCCAGCCCTGATTACCCTACTTTTTATTATATTTATTTTATTGTGTGTTGGGTGGGGGGAGGTGCATGCTTGCCACTGCAATGTGTGGAGGTCAGAGGACAATTTTCGGGAATTGGTTTTCTCCTTCTACCCTGAGGGTCCTGGGGATTGAACTCAGATCTTCAGGCTTGATGGCAAGCATCTTTACCCACCAAACCATCTCAAAAGCCTGAATGTCCTAGTTGTGATAGAAACAGGGACATGAGGTGTTTTCCACTGTCATCCTAGTTCCTATGATTACAACAGCCCTTGTGATGAGAAAGGACATTGACCACCTGGCCTCAATGGCCTAGAGGTGAAAGAGGGGCCCAAGTACATGGAGCCCCCAGAGATAGCCATCATGCCTAGATGTGGCAGGTCATTTTGAATTGAGCATCTGATTTTGTCAAAAGAATCTAGAAATCCTTACTGTTATGAAATATTCTAATATTTTTAATATTGGCAACTAAGCTGGGCATGGCAGCTCATACCAGTAACAACAAGAAAAATTCTTTTTATAAACTGCCAAATTTTTTTCACTACTGAGTGATTGACATGGCAGCTCATACCAGTAACAACAAGAAAAATTCTTTTTATAAACTGCCAAATTTTTTTCACTACTGAGTGATTGAACCCAGGGCCTCACACATACCAGGTAAGCACTATGCCACTCAGTCATACCCTGAGACCAAGGGAAAAAAATGTTTTTTTTTAAAAAAAACAGTCTCATGTAGTCCAAACTGGTTTTGAACTCTCTATGTAGCCAAGGATGACTGTGAACTTCTGATCTTCCTGTCTCTACCTCCTGAGTGCTGCGATTATAGGCATTCAACATTATACGTGGTTTATGTGGTCCTGGGGATTAAACCCATCCATGCTAGACAAACACTCTATCAACAGAACTACATCCCTATCCATGTTTATGTTTTTTGAGACAGGGGTCTCTCTTTCTCTCTCTGTATGTAGCCCAGGCTGGACTAGAACTTACTACATAGCTCAGGCTAGTTCCCAACTTCCTGTACTCCTCCTGTCTCAGCCCAACTAGAACTTGAAAAAAAATAAAAATCAGCCAGGCGTGGTCGCGCATGCCTGTAGTCCCAGCACTTGGGAGGCAGAGGCAGGCAGATTTCTGTGAGTTCAAAGTCAGCTTGGTCTACATAGTGAGTTCCAGGACAGCTGGAGCTACAGGGAGACCCTGCTTCAAAAAGACAAAAAAAAAAAAAAAAAAAATCAGCACTCTATAGGTCAAACTTAACCAAGCTAGAAGCCAGAATTGGCCTTATAATATCAGAAACTATGAGACTGGTCATCTGGACGCTAGGAAAAGAATAATGACCCCTGAGAGCCTAGGATCACCACACCTATTTCTTGTAACCTTGACGTTTCTGCCTCCTCTACCTCCCCAGCTTCAAATACAGCGTCCACAAAATACAAAAACCAGAGGTACTGACCACAACCCCTCATAGGGTTGAATCAAGGTCAGAGAGCCCACTCAATACAACAGAAAGCAACACCTTTCCTCCAATAATGATGTCGTTAGTTCCAGATTATGTGGCTAAGCCACACACCACACACACACACACACACACACACACACACACACACCAAAGCCACATACCCCCCCACCCCATAGCCACATACGCCCCCCACACGCCAAAACACAGAGCACATGTTCTGGAAAACACATGCACACATGATAAGCTTTGCCCTTTTGCTCTCTTCAGAAGTCCCCTTCACCTCCCCCAACAGTTCAAACTGTGGCGAGTGCTTCACCATGAAGGAAGCCCAGGTCCCCAAATAAGCCACGACCCTTTGTCATGAAGGAACTCAGGTCACCATACTGACCAGGTTCCTGATTTGCCAGACTCACTGAGAGGCCCTTTCTGTTAGACTCAAACAGTGTTAGGGCTGTTAGAAAAAAGGGACAGAAGTCCTTGGACTAACCAGGGGTTTCCTGAATGGAAATAGTAGGGGCAGGGAGAGGCCCCCGCCATGGAGGGCGTGGCCACCTGTAAGTTGCAGGTTTTCACAGGCGTCTCTGCCCATATGAAATGCTTGCCTCCTCATCTGCGAGAGGATGAACTGCTCAAAGACAGGATTTAGAATTGTTTGGAAGACTATGAAGTGCCTCCTAAATGTGAGAAGTTAATATTGACAGGGGAGAAGAGCGGCCTCTCCTACCCACTCTGTTAAACACCTGGCAGGCGAGAGGTCCTACTCTTATGGTTTGGCTCTGAAGTATCTGCCCAAAACCTCTGTGTGTTGAAGGCTCTTCTCCAGATGGTGGTGCTTTTGCTAGGTCACAAGAAATGAAGGCAGTCTTTATCAATGCATTAATCAACTGATGGGTCCACATTCTGATAGTATTACTGTGAGGTTGTGGGAACTTGATGGGGCAGTACGAGTTAGAAGTAGGTCAGGGGGCTGGAGAGATGGCTCAGTGGTTAAGAGTGTATACTGCTCTTGCAGAGGACCCAAGTTCAGTTCCCAGCACCCATGTTACAATCACCTGTAACTCCAGCTCCAGGGGATCTGATGCCATCTTCTGGCCTCCATGCATATCTACACTCAATACACACACACACACATACACACATACACACAATTAAAGAATAATAAAAATAGGGGACTGGAGAGATGGCTCATTGGGTAAGAGCACTGGCTGCTCTTGCAGAGGACTCAGGTTCAGACCTCAGCAGTCACATGGTGATCAATAGTTGTCCTTAACTCCAGTTCCAGGGGATTCAACCCCCTTTTCTGGCCTCTGCAGGCTTTGCATGCTTGTGGTGCACTTAATTACATGCAGGCAAAATACTCCATACACATAAAATAAAAATAAATAAAAAATAGTAATAGTAATAATAAAAATAAATCTTAAAAAAAGCAGGTCAGTGAGTGTGTGCCTTTGAAAGTTACGTCTTCTCCTTGGTACCTTCAGTTTCTCTTTCTCTGCTTCCTGGCCACCATGAGGTAAGCAGCTCGCCCTGCCACTGTAATGCTCTCCCCACTCCCACCATGATGTTCTACCTGGCCACACCTCCACAACTAAAACCAGCTGATACCTCTGAGACCTCTGATACCATGAGGCAAATTACATCCTTCCTCCCTTAAGCTGTTTTCCCAGGTATATTGTCACTGCGGCAAAGAGTGACTGGCACACTGGCATTGCTGATTATGCTGAATGACACTGGTCCTCTTGTTTGCAGACACAGTTCTCCAGAAGGTCCTAGATTATAAGATCTGAGGCAGAGGGCTTCCAACTACGGTGTGCATCAGAGCAGATCTCTCAGAAGCCCTCTTCAAATGTGCATTGCTGAGCCCTAGTCCTGGAGCTGCCCCTTCAGTAGGTGGACTGAACCTTGAATTTTATTTCTTTTTTTTTGTTTTTGTTTTTTTGTTTTGTTTTGTTTTTTGAGATAGAGTCTCCCTGTAGACCCAGCTGACTTGGAACTCCCTATGTAGACTGGGCTGGCCTTGAACTCAAGGAGCTTTGCCTCCTCTGACTCCCAAGTTCTTGGATTAAAGACGTGCAATGAATTCACTTTTTCTTTAAGTTTTATTTATGTGTAGGTGTATGTGTCTGTGTGAGAGTATGCCACATGTGGGTAGGTGTCTGTGGAGGCCAGAAGAGGGTGCCAGGTCCCTTGGAGCTGGAGTCAAAGGTGTTTGTGAGCTGTCTAACATGGCTGGTGAGAACCCAATTCAGGTTCTCTGGGAGAGCAGTCTGTTGAACCATCTCTTCCATCCCCCTACCCCTCACCCCTGGTTTTTGTAGACAGAGTCTCATGTATCCCAGGCTGGCCTTAAACTATGTAGCTGAGGATGATCTTGAACTTGTGATCCTCCTGCCTCCACCTTCTGAGTGCTGGTGTTGCAGGTATGCAACATCATACCCAGTTTAAGTGGTGCTAGGGATGGAATCCAGGCCTTCATGCATGCTAAGTAAGCACTCTACTAACTGAGCTATGTCCCCAGTCCCTAGAACTTGCTCCCAGGCATGCTGCTGCTGCTGCCACTGCTGTTGCCACTGCTCCTGCAGACTGGAGGACTACACTGAGATGACACCTGACATGATTTAGCTTCTAGTCATAACCAAGAGCACTAGGTGCTCCTGGGCTGTCCAACCCTATCCCCCTACTCAAGACAGCATTATGGGATGAGGCGACTGAGAGATTCAAGCTATCTGGAGATATTTCTTTAGTCTGCATACTATTTTAGATAAAATTGGGCTAATAATTATAAATCAGGACATTGTACAAAATTCCTAAGTTCATCTCTTCTTGTATGATGATGTCTTAAACTCCAATACCTCAGTATGTGACCTTAGTTGGAGGTCTTTTAAAAATATTTTATTTATTTTTATTTTATGTGTATGAGTGTTTTGCCTGCATGCATGTATGGGCACCATGTGTATACAATGGCTCCAGAGGCCAGAAGAGGGTGTCAGACCCCCTGGAACTGGAGTTACAGATGATTGCTAGCCACCATGTGTGTGCTGGGAACTGAACCCAGGTCCTCTGCAAAAGCAGTCAGTGCTCTTAACCACTGAGCCATCTCTCCATCTCAGAGGTAGGGTCTTTTTTGAGGGAGAGGGGATAAGACAGGGTCTAATATAGTTGAGGATGACCTTAAACTGATACTCCTGACTCTACCTCCAATGTGTGCTATCATACCTGGCTTTAGTGGTGGATATCCAGCTAAAATTAAATCATTACAGAGGACTCTAATCTGATATCACTGATGTCTTTGTACAAGGGGGAAATCTGGACAAAGATACATCCAGCAGAGTGCCATTCAAATGTGTAAACCACCAAGCCCAAGGTCAGATGGGAGGTTGGGGTGGTCCTCCTTCTAAAGTCCTCAAAGGAGGTAATCCTGACAGCACTTTCATTCTGGAATTGAAGGCCACAAAGTTGGGCTTCAAGCATTCTAGTTTGGGGCTTTGTCCACCCTCCACCCCGAGCCCTTGCAGACTAAACTCGTACTTTCTTGAAAACATCTGTTGATCCATGGCTGGTGGTCCCCTTTGGGTTCTGCAGCCCCCTCACTCAGCCTGTGACTTGTTATCATTTCATCCATTACAGCAGTATGGGTGGGCCCCTCCAGATCCCAGGGCTTGGTGAGGAACTTTCAGTGGGATGCAACTGGCCTGGTTTCCTTCTCTCTGGCATGGCCTCCAGTTCATACCTGAGGACGAGGCACCAGACCCATTGGCACAGGGATAGCACCCCAGTGACACTGGTACGGAGGGACATTTTGACCCAGAGGACCCCAGAATCTCCGTGTCTACCCCCAAGTGTCTACCCCCAAAGTCCAGACACCAGGTTTCTCCCTTCTCCCGGACCCAGGCATTCAAGCCCCACCCTACTGTCAATGGACCATTGTCTCAGACTGGGAAAGGCACGGGCAGAGTCTGACATCATGAGGCTTGAGGTGGGGGTGGCACCCCCCATCCTTCCTGATTCCTGCTCTCCTCTCTCTTCCAAGGGATTTCCCTGCCCTCACTCCTGGGGGCTCCCTTGGGAGAAAGGACTCTCCCTGCTCTGGCCACCACAGGGTAATGGAACTTCTCACGTGTCCCCCCACCTCCAGCTCCCCACCCACCTTGCAAAACTCTTGTCTGACTTGGGACCACTATGGGATTTACACCCACAGGGTCCTCACCCAGCTTGGAGAGCCAGCCTTGTGTGCACTAAAGCCTTGTTCTAAACACCCAAGACAGACAGATAGGCAGGTTTCTGTGTAGAGCCTGTTAACTGAGAACTCTGGGCTAGGTGGGAATGTGGGGGCCAACAGCATCCCCAGAACGCAAAGTGGCAAGCTGTGGTTGTGCTAAGCCCTGTGGAAAAAAGAACAGCTTTTAAACAGAGGAGTAGGGACCAGGCATGGTGGCACACACCTATAACCTCAGTACTCCAGAGGCTGAGGCAAGAGGACGTCGAGTTCCATACTAATTTGGGCTGTATAGTGAACTGGAGGCCAGCCTACACTATATAATGAGATCCTGTCTCAAAAGGCAAAAACTACAATAAAAAAGAGGGGTGGGTTAACAAGATGGCTTATCAAGTTAAGGTGCTTGCCGCCAAGCCTGATGACTTGAGTTTGATCTCTGGGACTCATAACTCCTGCAAGCTGTCCTCTGACTTCCACACAAATGCTGTGGTACATGGGAACATCCACCCACATACATACATACACACAGACACAGACACACACACAGACATGCACAGACACACACAATAAAAAATAAATAAGTAAATAAGTAAATAAATAAATAAATGTGTGTATGTAATGGGGATGAGTAAGGGACGCCACTGAGGAAGTGACAGGCAATCCGTTAGTGCTGGGCTTCTTCAGGAGCAGGCTAGGGTCAGGGCTAGGTGGGACAGGATGGGGACAGGTCTCCAGTAAAGAAGAGTTAGAGCAACATCCCTGGGTCCGAAGGTGTCACAGGACATTGGAGTACACACAGCCACACAGTCTCTGTTCATTAACAAGCAGGACACAGAACAATACAGACAGAGCCCATGTCCTCACCGAGAGAGATCATGATCTCACAAGAGGAGTCAGCGTCTAAGGTCATTTCAGAGGACAAGAGGAGCCAAGGAGAAAGCAGACCAGGAGGATTGCAGGGAAGGTGACACTAGAATCAAGGGAGGAGAGGGGGTATCCCCTCGCCCTGTCCCACCTAAGGTTGCCACCAATTTCCTGAGGACAACGGGTCCTGTCCTTCAGCTTGGGACTTTTAGAGAGATGAGGCTATCACCCTCTAACCCCCAGTTGGGGTGTATAATGGTAGAGGGGGAAGGAACAAGGCGGACCCCCATCCTCTCCAGGAAGGAACTGATAGGACCCAGGCATCAGGCTGCCCAGTCCCGGCCTGACAAGGGCCCCTTTGTGCCCCCTCCCCCGGGGGCAGGGAGGAGCTGGGCCCTGGAGGCAGGCGGCCCCTGGCACCCAAGGGGAGGGGAGGGGCTGACAAGTGGGGACCTAGACCCTGGGAGACCAGGGGACTGTGAGCCAGGCCAGCGGAGCAGAGGGTGCAGAAGCCAGACTATCCAAGTGAGTACTGCAACAGGGAGAGAATAGGGTACAGGAGGGGCAGAGCACTCCCAGGGGTCAGGAGCACTTAGTGGCCTGAGCTTGTGCATGGTGAGGTGCTCTGGGAGATGTCATTGAGAACTGGACGGTTAGTCATTTGGAATGGGGCAGGGTGCTGTTTGGGACACCCTTGGGACCTCCTCAACATACCTCATGACTGCAGGCTCTGTAGTGCCAGCTCCCCTGGAGGTCCTGAGATTAGAACAGATGAGGGGTCCTTGGGCTGGGGCTGGGGGTGAAGGGAAGGATGCAAGGTGATCAGACACCTACATGCCACCATGTGGAGGAAGATGATGCCAGTGGGCTGTGAACAGCACATGCTAGTACCTGGTACATAACAAGTGTGAGTGTGTGTGTGTGTGTGTGTGTGTGTGTGTGTGTGTGTGTGTCCACCTCTCTTGTATATCCATTTATAATAGTGTTTCTCGACTTTTCCCCATTACACCCCACTAAAGAGACTTTGAAGGTATGGTTTTCCTACCCCTACTCCTCCCTTGGATTTGTTTTTGTTTGTTGAGGCAGGGTCTCATGTAGCCCAGGTTGGCCTCCAATTTGCATTGCAGCCAAGGTTTGTCTTGAAACCCTCCCTAATCCTCCTCCTCCACCTCCCAAAGGCAGGTATGGCAGGTGTGCATGCTTGGTTTCTCTTCCACAAATTTAATGCTATAGATACACAATCTATTTGTTTTGCAAATATTTGCACTGTGATCCTTTTGAAAGTTTCAAACCATCCTCTAGCTAAGATTGGCTGGGCCCCTACCTCAAGACCTCTGTGTGCCCCTGTCTAGACTGCACGGTGCATATCCCTGCTTGTACCATTGTCTGGCCCTCACCTCTGGATATCTGCTGTGCCTTCCAGTCACTGGTGCCAGGGCCACAGCTGCCCTGTGTCCATTGATATGTCTGGATGGAGGGGTCCACGGTCATACCTCAACGTGTGCAGGTCCTTGTGAACTTGTGAACACGCCCCCCGGGGCTTGACCACCCAGAGGTCTCAGGATCAGAACATGTCCTCATGCATCTCTGTTGTGTGAGCTTGTTCCTGCTGGCTGTCACATTTCCTACCAGCGTCTGTATGTTTCTGGGCCTGTGTCTGCATCAGTGGGAAGAGGGCAGCCAAGGCCAGGAAAAGCAGTCACTTCAAAATCCTGGCTCCAGCCCGGAGTGACCCACGGAACAGCAGGGGCCAAGGGTCCATCACCTCTGGCTCTTCCTGGTCCCTGTCAGAGCCTAGTCAGGAGTGTTAGACTCCTTGCTCACGCCCCACCTATCCAAGGAGGTCCCCCAGGATGAAGCACCCGTACCCCTAGGGAACAGGGCTCTTTTGTACTGGCCACTGGCCTCTGGTGAGGGTGGGGACACCCGGGGCCTGCTGCGGGTGGGAGAGGGCGGCAGGAATTCACACGGCATGCTGGGAATGCTGATGTTGTGAAACCCAGTCATTGATAGGGCTGCGTCCCTGCCTGCCACCCCCAGGCCTCAGCCGTGGGACATCTGCTCCTTCACCCCACTCACTACACTCCTCTCCCCCCATCCTAAAGTTGCCACTCCAGGTCCTCTCCCCACGGTTCTCCCACACCCCAGCTTGGGTGGAGGAATTGTGGTGCAGCAGTTTTGAGGCTGTGTGGGAGCATCCCTGGTATCTATGGGTACCACAGACCACATGGGCATCCTTAGGACAGAGCCACAACCCATAGTACACACAGAAGAGCAGGGCGCTTTGGGGGCTCAGGTCCCTACACTGTGTGTGATACCTATCTGATTTTTTTTCCAGGTTAATTGGCCTTTTCAAGTGGAATCAGGAGAAATTCCCAATTCAGAGAGACTGAGGTAAGGGGCAGGGTAGCAATATTCTCTTTCCACTGTTGCTGGAGCCTTAGCTCCATCCTTATTTAGAGATTCCCAGGGGAATAATGGTGTTAAGCATTATTATCAGCCCGACACTACCATGCAGATAGCACAGGTTGACTGCTAAGACTGCAGACTAGCTGTGTGACCTTAGGCAAGCTCTGTAACCTCTCCAAGCTCCAGATGTGGACAGTAATTGCACCTGCCTCAAAGAGATCAGAATTGCTGACCCTAGTGCCCACTCGGGCCACTCAGATGACAGAAATGAGCCAAGCAAGACCCTAAACAACCAGGCTGCCCTCTGAAAAACAGAGTTGTTCTTATTCTTCTAGAGACATCTGGAGTTACAGCCAGGGGTGGGAGGGATTAGGTCGCCGGGGGGGGGGGGGGGCGGGGGGGGCTTAGGCTTCTAGAGGCCTGCTTTAGCTGGGTAACTTTGAGAACCTTGCTTAACTTGCCTGGGCCTTGGTTTCCTGCAGGAAATGGCGGGAAGGACAGTACAATCAATGGTTGAATGGTTTCACAGTATCAAGCTGGGCATGGTTTGGGACAGCTGGCTCTGGCTAGAAAATGCAGGGGTTATTGAAGAGTAATGTGTGGAGGCTTAGCCAGGGTCATATCAAAGCCTATAATTACAGCCAGGCATGATGGTACTTGCCTCTAGCGCCTTGTGCTCAGGAGGGAGAAGCAGGTGAATCTCTGTGAGTTTGAGGCCATCTTGGTCTACATGGTAAGTTCCAGGCCAGCCAGACCTGCATAGTCAGATCCTGTCTCAGAACAACAAAACAAAGCAAAATAAAACGTTTGCAGTTATGAATGACAGCAGCAGCGAACCCTGACCCAGGGTCCCTTTTCTGTCTTTCACAGATAGCCCTGTCTCTAACCGGCTCTGTCTCTCTCCAGACCTGGCTCGCTTACTTGCTGTACAAAATGATATTCCTCACAGCACTGCCTCTATTTTGGATAATGATTTCAGGTAATGACTGGGGATCAGCAGGAGATCTTGAGTCTTGATCCCAGGATCCCCAGGCCTGTGATCGATGATGGGAACTGGAGGTGTTAATGGGGTGGGACATGTCTTTCAACCTCTGTACTCCTGTCCACCCACAGCTTCCCGAGGAGGTCACTGGGGTGCCTGGATGCCCTCATCCATCTCAGCCTTCGAGGGCACGTGTGTCTCCATCCCCTGCCGCTTTGACTTCCCGGATGAGCTCCGACCAGCGGTGGTACATGGTGTCTGGTATTTTAATAGCCCCTACCCTAAGAACTACCCACCAGTAGTCTTCAAGTCCCGCACACAAGTGGTCCACGAGAGCTTCCAAGGCCGCAGTCGCCTGCTGGGGGACCTGGGCCTTCGCAACTGCACCCTGCTGCTCAGCACGCTTAGTCCCGAGCTGGGAGGCAAGTACTACTTTCGTGGGGACCTGGGCGGCTACAACCAGTACACCTTCTCGGAGCACAGCGTTCTGGACATCATCAGTGAGTCGGTCCCCAGGGTTCTGACGGGCTCTGAGGGGGCTGCAGGATGCTGGGTGGACCTCCTCAGTGCTTGGGACAGCTCTGAATGACAGACTGAGGAGAGATGGATTTGGCTGGGTGCGAAGCCCAGTGCCTGCTCTGGCCACACAGAAGACAGAGATGAGCCAAGCTGGCCCTAAATAGTTTGGTTACCCTCTGAGGAATTGGTTGTTCTTATTTTTCTAGAGATATCTGGAGCTAAAGGCATGAGGGACCTGAGATCAGGGATGAGTCTTCTAGATCACTGCTGACTTGGGGCAACTTGCTCAACTTCCCTGGCGTTGGTTTCCTCTTGTGAAATGCAGATAAGAGTGGTGAATTCAAACTAGGCGTAGTAGCACTCTCCTTCAGTCCCAGCACTGAGGAGGCAGAGGCAGGCAGATCTCTGTATGAGATGGAGGCCAGCCTGTAGGGAGTTCCAGGCCAGCTGGGGCTACAGGGAGACCCTGTCCCAAAAAGCCAACAAAGTGGCTGATAGAATGGGTGAATGGCTTCAAGGCTGGGAGCTGAACCTGGCTTCTTGGATGACTCTGTGGGCTCTCCGCTCTGGCTAGCAGAATGCAGGATCATTGCTGTCAGGCATGCTGTGTTTCTTAAAAAACCCAAACTGTGGCTATTCCAGGGTAATACCCTAATTCCTAAATATTGGCTGCTTGTTTTGAGTTTTTTTTTTTTTTTTTTTTTTTAAGATCATATGGGGCTAGAGACATGGCTCAGTGGTTAAGTGTGCTGCTCTTACAGAGGACCCGAGTTTGGTTCCCAGCACCCACATCAGGCAGCTCCCAACCACTTGTAACTCCAGCTCCAGGGAATGTGATGCCTCTGACCTTTGCAGGTACCTACCTACACACACACACACACACACACACACACCACACGCACACATGCACACTCACACGCGCGCGCGCGCACACACACACACACACAGTTTTTTCAAAAGGAAAGAAAAGATCCTGGACTGGGTTATAGCTCAGTGGTAGTGTTTGCCTAGCATGGTTCCTTCCATTCCTTGCATGGGGAATGGGGAGAGAGAGAGAGGGAGGGAGGGAGGAAGGGGTGGGGGAAGGATGGGAGAGAGAAAGAAAAAGAAGAGAAAGAGGAGGAGAGAAGGAAGGAGAGAAGGAAGGGAGGAAAGGAGAAAGAAGGATCAGCAAGATGTCTCTAGTGGGTGAATGTGCTTGATGCCATGCCTGCCAACCCGAGTTTGATCCCTGGAACCCACATGATGGAAGAAGAGAACTGACTCCTGCAAGTTGTCTTCTGATATCCACACGGCATACATGTGTCCACATACAGAAGCATACACATGCACACGTACACACACACACACACACACACACACACACACACACACATCAATGTTATAAAGAAAGAAGGAAGGAAGGAAGAAAAAGTCAAGAGCAGGCCGGGTGGTTCAGGCCTGTATTCCCAGCTACTTGAAAGGTTGAAGGAGAAAGGTCACAAATGCAAAGCTGACCCGGATTACAGAGTGAGTTCAAGGTCAGCCTTCACAATGTCATGAGACCCTGTAAAAGTACAAAAAGGGATGGGGTATAGCTCAGTGATAGAGTGTTTGGCTATACATAGGAGGTCCTGAGTTCAATCCTCAATATTTGAAAGAATAATAATAATATAAAAAAAACAGAAGGAAGAGAAGAGAAAGGAAAAGAAAAGCAAACAAGCAACAAACAACAACAAAAAACCCTGTAGGCAGCTGTGGCCAATTTAGCAATCAAAATAGAAGCTATTGACTGATTTCAGAGATTCCCACTGCCTGATTTCTGAGAGGCCCTGTTCTGGAAGATCTTAGGCTAAGTTTCTTAGCAGCACCTGGTCTGCATGAGAAGCCAATTTACAGGCCTAGTGTAGAAAGAGACCACACAGGCACAGCACACACGCACCACACCACGCAGTACACATATGTCACACTCCCAGACTACACACATGCACCTGCAAGCATACCGGCTTCCTACCCCCACAATCCATCACATATCCCTACACACACATACCACATATCTCATGCAGATAGGAGACCTATGGAACGGACAAGAGAGGAATACAGAGGAATAGACTGCAGAGCCAACAGCACTGATGCCTCAGAAGCCCGGGACAGGGTTTGAGGCCCAGTTAAACTCTGTATGATCTGTACCCTCCGTTTCTTTCCTTTTTTTTTTTTTTTTTTTTTTTTTTTTTTTTGTCTTTTTGGGTCTTCCTGTAGCCCCAGCTGGCCTGGAACTCACTCTGTAGACCAGGCTGGCCTCGAAATCACAGAGCTCCGCCTACCTCTGCCTCCCAAGTGCTGGGATTAAAGGCATGTGGCCGGGCTCTCAGTTTCTTTTCTTTTTAAAAATTGTTTATTTCCTTATTTTTATTTTATTATGTATGACTGTTTTGCCTTCATGGGAGTGCACCACTTGCATACAATGCCTGCTGAGGCCAGAAGAGGGCATCAGATCCCCTGAAACTGGATTCAGGATAGTTGTTAGCCTCCATGTAGGTGCTGGGAACTGAACCCCCATTCTCTGGAAGAGCAGCCAGTACTCTTAAATGTGGAGCCATCTCTCCAACCCCAGCCTCAGTTTTTTCATTTGCAAAATAACAACAGGACTTCCAACACTGTATCAAATTATTCTAGCATCCCAACTGACTATGTGGGCCACTTCTGGGGGAAGAGTGACCCACATCTGGGAAGGGTGCAGCTATAGGCCACTGGGGATCCAGAGGTGTCAGGAGTGGGTTTGGACAAGGTGGGCGTGACTGTAGACTAAGACTGCTTCCAGAACCTTCCGTTTTCTCCATATCACACATAGACACCCCCAACATCGTGGTGCCCCCAGAAATGGTGGCAGGAAGTGAAGTAGAGGTTAGCTGCATGGTGCCTGACAACTGCCCGGAGCTGCGCCCAGAGCTGAGCTGGTTGGGCCATGAGGGGTTGGGGGAGCCGACTGTCCTGGGTCGGCTGCGAGAGGACGAGGGCACCTGGGTGCAGGTGTCACTGCTACACTTCGTGCCCACTAGAGAGGCCAACGGCCACCGTCTGGGCTGTCAGGCCGCCTTCCCCAACACCACCATGCAGTTCGAGGGCTACGCCAGCCTGGACGTCAAGTGTGAGCCTGGGTGCGGGTTGGGCGGGGGCGGGGCCTGGGTGGGACCCGGAGCGAAGACTTTGGGCAGGGGCTGGGGCTTGGGGCGGGGCCTGGCCTGGTGGGTGGGGCCTGAAGGGTGGGACCTGGAGCGGAGCCTGGCCAGGTGGGCGGGGCAGGGGCGGGGCCTGCGGTGGTGGGGCGGGCCTAGATCTGCGGTACCCGCCCGCTGACCCACTCACTGTCCACTGTCGCCGGCCTCAGACCCCCCGGTGATCGTGGAGATGAACTCCTCGGTGGAGGCCATCGAAGGCTCCCACGTCAGCCTGCTGTGCGGGGCTGACAGCAATCCACTGCCGCTGCTGACCTGGATGCGGGACGGGACGGTGCTGCGGGAGGCGGTGGCTGAGAGCCTGTCCCTGGAGCTGGAGGAGGTGACCCCTGGGGAGGACGGCGTCTATGCCTGCCTGGCAGAGAACGCCTATGGCCAGGACAACCGTACCGTGGAGCTGAGCGTCATGTGTGAGTCCATGTCCACACCTCAGTGGAGTTCACTCCGAGGGACCTCCCATAACATCAGGAATTTGCACTTTAAAATAAGCACAGTTGTAGTTTAAATAATTTACATTGATTTATTTTAAATCGTGGGGGCCATGGGTGTGCCACGGTGCACAGGAGGTCAGAGGATAACCTGTGGGACTCCCCCTTCTCTCCTTTCATTATGTGGGTCCCAGGGATGAAACTCAGGTCATCGGGTTTTGAGGCAAGTGCCTTTACCTGCTGAGCCACATCCGCCACAGTTAGTTTTTTTGTTTGTTTTATTTTTATTTGTTTTTCATGTGTTTTTTGCCTGCATGTATGTACTGGTGTCATGCAATGCCCGCAGAAGCCAGAAGAGGGTGTTGGATCCCTTGGAACTGGAGTTAGGGACTGTTGTTAGCTGCCATATGGGTGCTGGGAACAGAACCTGGGTCCTCTACAAGAGCAGCCTTAACTGATGGGCCGTGTCTCCAGCCCCAACATTTGTAGTTTTTTGTTTGTTTGTTTGTTTTTTGAGATAGGGTCTCCCTGTAGCCCCAGCTGGTCTGGAACTCGCTATGTAGACCAGGCTGGCCTCAGACTTACAGAGATCAACCTGCCTCTGCCTCCCGAGTGCTGAGATTAAAGGCGTGTGCTACCACGCTTGGCTAACAGTTGTAGTTTTAATAGGAGGACTGAGGAGACAGACCCGAAACCTCATCCAGCTTGGTTGCCTGCACCTGCTCGTAATGCAAGAGGGGTTGCTGTCAGAGTGGGAGGATTAGCTGAGAATCGAGATGCCATTCATGCACACATTCATTCATTCACAAATATGTACTGAGGCAAAGTGCCCAGGGCTGGGCATAATAAGAACAGTTACAAGCCAACGTTCACTCAGCATTTCCTGAGTGTTTCACACACATGCTCTTTGCTCTGGCATCCCTTGTGCCTCCCACTCTGCTCCCTGAAGCCTTCCTGCACCATCCTACATAGAACCATGCCCATCCTGATCTCTCCTCCTTAAGCTTTGTTTTCCTCCACAGTCTAGATCCTCCTGTTGCAAATGCATTTTATTTTCTAATATAACTTCTCCCTGCAAGGGCCTTGCTTAACTAGAACACTGGCCATCATTCATTCCACATTGGGTAATTGCCCCTATGATGCTGGAAATATTGAGCCCAAGTGAGTGGGACAAGTGAGTTCTAGGGTTAAGTCATAAATCTACACTGCAGAGAAGGGGTAGGTAGTGCCATCATTCAAAGACAAGGTCCCAGCCAGGCATTTACCTGCAAATCCAGCACTTGGGAAGCTGAGGCAGGAGGAGTGCCATGACCTCGAGGCCAGCCTGGGCTATATAGCGAGTAGTAGGCCAGTCAGGGCTATATAGCAAGAGCCTATCTCAAAAAGAAACAAATGATCAAAAACAAAGACAAGCTCTCCCTGCCTGCAGAATTGCCATTCATGTAAATAAGCAGCCAGGTCTGGGGTTTCTGAACCATCCTGAATGGATGTGCTAGATTTGGGTTGTCAATGGCCACATTTGGTGGTGGGAGTTGACCATCAGAGCAGTAGCACCCCTGGTTTCTGATGATCACCACCCCCGTCCTGTCTCTCCCCCAGATGCACCTTGGAAGCCAACGGTGAATGGAACAGTAGTGGCTGTGGAGGGGGAGACAGCCTCCATCCTGTGCTCTACACAGAGCAACCCAGACCCGATTCTCACCATCTTCAAGGAGAAGCAGATCCTGGCTACAGTCATTTATGAGAACCAGCTCCAGCTCGAGCTGCCAGCAGTGACACCAGAGGATGACGGGGAGTATTGGTGTGTGGCGGAGAACCAGTACGGCCAGAGGGCCACAGCCTTCAACCTGTCTGTGGAGTGTGAGTTCCTCCCATCTTCCACTACAGTGAGGACATCCAGGTGACAGGAAGGGAGCCCTTCCTTCTCAGCCAGAGCCAGGTAGGGAAGAGCAGTGTAGCTGAATCCATAGCCAAAAAATAAAACTCCCATCTGAGGGCCGAGCGTGGTGGTACACACCTTTAATCCCAGCACTCAGGAGGCAGAGGAAGGTGGGTCTCTGTGAGATGGAGGTCAGCCCTGTCTACATAGGAAGTTCCAGGCCAGCTGGGGCCACAGGGAGACCCTCTCTCAAAACCAAACAAATAACCCCACAAAACTCCCATCTGAGAACACTCTGTTCCTGAATCCTGGGGAGAGCTCTTGACCATAGTGGTTCAGGAGCCTGTCATTACTGCCTCTCTACATGAACTAAAACACTAACTCTGATATATATCTCTCGGAGACTGTTGCTAGGTACTAGACACTGTTGGATGTGCTGTATCCAGGGAGCCACTCATTTCATCCTCATGAGGGATGTCCACTTTCCAGAAAGGGAAATAGGCCTAGAGATGTTAGGTCCCTTGCCCCAGGTCACACAGCTAAGAAAGAGCTGGTTTTGAGAATCAAACCCAGAGTATCTGGTTCTACTCTGCCCAGAATTGATCTTGTGTTTGTGTATTGATGGAGCCATTATGGTGTGCAGAGTGCTCTTGAGAGGAAGCAGATGGGACCAAGGAGATGCCAAGCTTACTAACAGCAGTTACAGAAATGCTGAGGATGTCCATATAAAGCTATCATCTCAGAGGTGTAACTCACTGTACTGCAAACTAGCACCTGACCTGACAGCTCCCTCCACGCCACCTAACCCTACTCAGGAACATCACTCCAAGTTGTAGCACAAGCCACAGTTTTGACTCTGTGTCCTCAAGCTCTTCCACTGGAACGTCATGTCCTTATTTTTATTTTCCCAAGCTTCTTCCTCAGCTTTGCCTGGCCTGTAGCTCTGGCCTCTAATTGGCACTTTATGCAGTGCTGAGGATGCGGCCCAGGACCTTGGGAATATCAAGAAAATGCTCTGCCACTGAGCAACGCCCCTAGCTCCTCACAGATGGATTCTAGGAAATTGCTCTACCACTGAGCCACACCTCCAGCCCCTCACTGGGGGATTCTAGGCAGGTGCCCTACCGCTAAGCCACGCCCCCAGCCCCTCACTGGGGGATTCTAGGCAGGTGCCCTACCGCTAAGCCAAGCCCCCAGTCCCATCTCTCTCCTCTGCAAAAGGAAGTAAGGACAGCACCTCACCACCAAGATGGCTGTGAGGACTAAGGGGATGTGGCCTATGCGTTCTGTGAATGTTATGTAGTGTTGTCTTGTCCCATTAGCCTTTCCTTGGGACTGGAGCAAGATATTTATTGCTGCAGCCAGGGCTTCTTGTGCTTTCTCTGCTAGATGCTCCTAAATAGGAGGCCATAAGCACTTGGCTGGGATGCTAAGCATTTCCAAATGTTCATGCACCTGTCTTTGGGGTCCCATAGCCCTTTGTGAGTTACGGGCACACTCAGAGGATGGAGATGTGACTGAAGCTCTAGTATGTTTGATTTCCAGTACAACATAAGCCTGGCATGGTGGTACACACTTCTAATCCCAGCACTTAGGAGGTGCAGACAAAGGAATCAGAAGTTCAGGGTCACCCTGGTTACATAATGAATTTGAAGCCCACCTGAGTATCTTCATTTCTTTTGCTGTTACTGTGATAAAATACCCCAAGGAAAGCAACTTAGGAGAAAAAGAGCTTATTTGGCTCAGAGTTCCAGGTTACAGTTCCTCACTGCAGGGAAATCCAGGTGGTAGGAACTTGATGCCCACTGTGGTCACATTCCATCCACAGTCAAGAGCAGAAAACAGTGAATGTATGCATGCTAGCTCAGCTTGCCTTCTCCCTTTCATTCCGTCCAGGGTCCAGCCTGTGAAATGATGCTGCCCACATTCAGGGTGGGGCCTCTGTCCTCAACTAACCTACAAAAATCCCTCACAGGCAGGCCCACAGGCCAACTTAGTCTAGACAGTTTCTCATTGTGACTCTTCCCAGGTGATTCTACATCTTTGCAAGTTGACAACACCAACCATCACACCGGGGAACATGAGATTCTGACTCAAAAAGCCAAAAGCCAAAACCCAAAGAACAAAATTCTCACCCTTCTCTCTAAGGATGCATCCCGAAGGCTCAGTGGCCACACTCGGTCAGTAGATGGCAGAGTTGGGATGCCAAAGCCGTTCACTCTCTGACACTTTCGGTCATGTCAGAGGGTTGCATAGCTCTCCTGGGCTGCCCAGGATGCTGTGAAGATGATGTGCACACACAGGCAGGGTATTCGCATTTTCCTAGCCCAGCATGGACATTTGTCACCAGAGTGCCAGCTGCACTGTTCTGCGTGGAAGGGTTTGGGGAACGTGCTAGAAACTTCTTCCAGCTCAGGTTTGTCATTATTCGTTTCCTCTGGGCTGTGTTGAGTGCTTAACCACAGCAAGCAGAGTACATCTTTATCTAAGTGGCAGATGGGTTTACCATTTTTTCGGCTTAGAGACACATGCATTGAGGCTCTCACTGGAAACATCCATCCCTGGTGCAGATTTACCTGCCCCTGTTACTTCCTGCCCACCATTGTTATTGGCACAGTCTTTTGGGCTTGAACATGGGTGGGGCTAGTGGGCCAAGGGTCTTTTTTCACTTTGTAATTTGGGCCAGAAGCAACTGAGAAACAGTGCTTGATTAGACTAGAACAAGCAAAAAGGTGTCAGATTGATCAAGATAGATAAAAAACAGTTTAAAAAGTATCATTTAGGGGCTGGGGAGATAGCTCAGTGGGTTAAGTGCTTGCCACATACACGTGAAGACCCAAGTTCGATCCCGAGCATCCACTTTTTTTTTTTTAAAGGCTGTGCGGTCTGGTATGTGCTTGTCATCCTAGCACTGGGAAGCAGAGATAGGATGCCAGGGGCTGGATGAGCAGCCAAATGGTGAGCTCCAGTTTTAGTGAGAGACCCTATCTCAAAAAGGAAGTGGAGAGTGGTAGAGAAGAACACCCCATGTCAACCTCTGACCTTCACACATGCACACCACACACACACACACACACACACACACACACACACACACACATTTAGCTGGGTATGGTGGTTCGAGCCTGTAGTCTCAGCTCTTGGGAGGGTGTGAAAGAATGGTTGAGAGTTCCAGGCCATCCTGAGCCACGCAAGACTGTATTTCAACAAAGAAAAATATAAAACAAAACAAAAAAATCCAACCAGCTGCTGGGTGTGGTGGCATATGCACCCAGCACTTGGGAGACAGAGGCAGGTAAATTTCTGTGAGTTTGAGGTCAGCCTGGTCTACCTAGTAAGTATCAGGCCAGCCAGAGCTACAGGGAGACCCTGTCCCAAAATAAAGAAAAGAAAAATCCAACCAATAAAACAAAAGCACCATTCAATGTTCTAATCTGACTTCATATTTTGGAAAATAAAAGAAAAACACATTCCAGGACTAGATTTGTAATCAAATGCTATCAAAACAAGGTTCAACAAAGAAGTCTTGGGTAGAGAGCAGTGTTTGGTGCTGGTGGTAATGGGGAGTCTCTGGAAGGAGACCAGGATTCCAGGGGTCTCCAGGCCAGGAAGCAAGTGCAGAGCATCTGCAAAGGACAGGGGAGAGTGGGGGATGGGGGTGGGAAGGGAGCGGCTGAGGGAGGCCATGGCTTGAGCAGAATGGTCAGAGCCTAGGAGGCTCTTTGGGAAAATATCACCCCTCACATGGCCAGAGGCCAAGGTCAAAGTTAGAGATAATGCAAATGGGAAAACAGCTCATTTCTGTTCTGGTCCATATGAAGGCTAGAATCACCCCAAAAGCAGAGGCGTGGGGGTTTCCCACAGGAAGTACCTAAATTCTCCCTGAAATGATACAGGTTGGGTTTCCAAAGGAGTCTCTGAAAGTCAAGGTGGTCCATGCAAGCTATTTGTCAGGAGAACTTCTATACAGAGGGGACTGAGGTGGCCTCATGCATGGACAGAGAGAGAAAGGACTGTTATTCCCAGGTGTGTCACCACAGGGGGTCACCACAAGGGGTCAAGTGTGGCAAGTAGAAGAGTGTGAGGAGTTTGGGGGCTGAGAGATGGCTCAGCAGTTAAGAGCACTGGCCGCTCTTGCATAGGACCTGGGTTTGGTTCCCAGCACCCACATGGTAGCTAACGAACAACCATAACTCCAGTTCTAAGGAATATGACTCCCTCTTCTGGCCTCTGCTGGCATTGCACACACGGTGCACTTAAATGCAAGCAGGCAAAACTTATACACATAAAATAAAATTTTAAAAAATTGCTTTAAAAAGAGCGTAAGGAGCTGGTGTTTTGCAGCATTTGGGGATGGTCTAGCCATCTTTACCAGGGCCTCTGAAACTACAAGGCTTTGACTTGTGTTTAGTCTAGAGGGACACCCTGTAGTGAGTGGGGGTCACAGAGTGGTCAGAGAGCCATGCGTTTCTGGATTATGGTCTATACAGAGTCCCTCACCCCATGACACCCTGGTCTTGCCTCTGCTAAGAAGTCCAGGGAGGCCCAGCCTTACTCATGGCCTTGGTTTTGAACTTGCAGTTGCTCCCATGATCCTCCTGGAGTCACACTGTGCAGCGGCCCGAGACACGGTGCAGTGCCTATGTGTGGTGAAATCTAACCCAGAGCCCTCTGTGGCCTTCGAGCTGCCATCGCGCAACGTGACTGTGAACGAGACAGAGCGGGAGTTTGTATACTCAGAGCGCAGTGGCCTCCTGCTCACCAGCATCCTCACGCTACGAGGACAGGCCCAGGCCCCGCCCCGGGTCATCTGTACCTCCAGGAACCTCTATGGCACCAAGAGCCTGGAGCTGCCCTTCCAGGGAGCCCGTGAGTGGCATGACCAGGGGGTGGGAGCTACAGGAGGGAAGGGGGTCCTCTTGGATTCATATCACCCCCCATTCCTGCTGATAATCAGCCACTGATTATGGGTTAACCATGAAGACTGATGAAACAGCCAAAGCTCTTCCTGACTTGTCACCCTAACTACATGGAAGGCTGAGGCAAGATTGTTGAGTTCTAGACCTGCCTGAACTACAGAGTGAGTTCAAGGCCAGTCTAAGCAATTTAGTGAGACTGTAAGTGACTCGGTGGTAGACCAACTGCCTAGAATCCACCAGTGAGGGACTAGGGTATGGTTCAGAGGTAAAGCGCCTGCCTAAAATGTGGGAGGCTCTGGGTTCAATCCCCAGTACTAAACAAAACAGAACCAAAAGCACCACAAACCTCACTTTGTCACTGGTGGGCAGAGGCTTCCAGAACATACCTGCTGTTCTTTACCAGCTGTTCCTGGTACCTAGCAACTAAGGGAGAGTGCATGGGCCTGTGGCCTCCATGCCCATCAGTTATATAAATGTTAAGGGCTCCTGGCTCTTCTGTCCCTAGACCGACTGATGTGGGCCAAGATTGGGCCTGTGGGCGCCGTGGTTGCCTTTGCCATACTGATTGCCATTGTGTGCTACATCACCCAGACACGCAGGAAGTGAGTCCCCACCAGACTGATCTGGGGGATAGGGAATCTCCAAGCGAGGTTTTGGGGCGCTGTGTGAGGCTGGGGTGGGCAAGGGAGGGTAGTCCTGTATGCATGCCAAGGGCAGATCCCATGTTGAAAATCTCCCACTGGGGGCATCTTTGCCCATGGTCTATGCTCCAGCCCTACAGTCTGCAGAAAGCTCTCTGTGACTGTCAGTCAGTTGGGGAAACCTGGAGGCAGGCAGGGAGGGTGGGAGCCACTCTGGGGTCCCTTGAGTCAGGATAAGTTTACCTGGGGTTTCCCACCAGGTCTAATGTGTTGTGCCTCCATTCCTGCAGAAAGAACGTGACAGAGAGCCCCAGCTTTTCAGTGGGGGATAACCCCCATGTCCTATACAGCAGTGACTTCCGAATCTCTGGGGCACCTGACAAGCATGAGGTGAGGGCCACAACTCCATGGCTCCTAGTTAGTAGGGGGATGTCAGGCTGTCAGGGATGTTGAGTGGGGACAGGCCTATGAGGTCAGGGGCAGAGGGGAGGACAGACAAGGGTATTTGGAGGACTGGGTTGGTGCTGGAGGCTGGGGAGGAAGCCCCAGGCTGAGGCTGTGCAGGAGAGCATAGAGGGAGGGGCCTGAGTGCCCCACCCTGCCTACCTGTGCCCATGACTGCATTTCCTTCTCCAATAGTCCAGACAGGCCTCTACTCTGGAAAGTCACTGAGAGCCCCGGGAGGTAGGTTCCGGGGGCCTCAGTGTGCCAACCGCCAGGCCCTGGCTGGGCCTCGGGGTTGGTGTGCATATGTGTGTGTGTCTTAGTCAGGTGTCTGCGAGGCTCTATGGTTAAGTCTGGCTTTGCTCAGCAGCCCTGGCCTTGTCTGTTCTGTTCCATCTCTGCCCACTTCTGTCTGTGGCCACTGTCCTTGTCATGTGTGTTTAAATGCCGACAGGGTGGAGGGTGGGGGTGGATAGCTCTGGAGTTAGAAGCTGCATGTCCCCCCAAACTCAGGAGGGAGACTCCACCAAATCCAAAGAGGAAGGCTTACCAAACTAGGTATTTGCAAACCTTCCAAAAGGGCAGTACAACCAAGATTGAACCTGTAAAGGTGTTCTGGGTTAAATTCTGTGCCCCTAATGTCCCTTTGTCAATGAGGGCTTCCTGGAGACATGAAACTTCTAGGCAAATGTCAAGGTCAGTCATGAGGAGGTTGTGGTGATCTTAGGGGTGCAGCACTTGTCAAGGTCCCAGAGGGGGATACAGTGGCTATGGGGGTTCCTGAGTGGCTGGTCCCTGAGAAAGGAGGCTTGCCTGGTTTCGGGGGTGAACTCATGGGTAACAGGGGATGCCAACAGCTCAGCTTCTACTTGAAGAAAAAGTGAGGGGGATCCTGTTAATGGGTTGTCTCCTCCCCCTCCCATAGAGTGAGAGGCGCCTGGGATCTGAGAGGAGGCTGCTGGGCCTTCGGGGGGAACCCCCAGAGCTGGACCTGAGTTATTCCCACTCAGATCTGGGAAAACGACCTACCAAGGACAGCTACACCCTGACGGAGGAGCTGGCTGAGTATGCTGAAATCCGTGTCAAGTGAGGAAGCTGGGGCTGCCCATGTGGCTAACCCCCCCTCAGGACCCTTGCTGGCCCCCACTGGCTGTGGGCTCCCTTCCTCCTGAAAGCGGTGGGGGCCGGGGCAGGAAGGGGCAGGGCAAGTGACCGTGAGGTCCTGGGGGCCTGGCCTCTCCCTCCTTCCCAGCTGCCCCTCCCTGCCAGAACCCCATGCCCATATTATAGCTCCTCTCTAGCCTCCTTTTAACCTCAGCTGTCTGGAGGGGTGGCTCTGTCTGTCCATGTTATTTATTGTTATCCTTTTCCTGGTCTCCTGTCTCCATACCTAGCCCTGACACCTGTACAAAAGGGGAACAAAATAAATGTCCCAACACCAAATACCAGACTAGATCTTGGTGATTTACTTATTTATTTTTATTTCATACTTCTGTTTTGCCTCCATGTCTGTAACTGCACCATGTGCATGCAATACCCAAAATAACCCTAACCCTAATCCCTGGAACTGGAGTTAAGGACAGCTGTTAACAGACATCTGGGTGCTGGGAACTGAACTCAGGTTCTTTGCAAGAGAAGCCAGTGCTCTTAACTGCCAAGCCCCAATGCTGATGATTTTTGGCCCATTATTGGAGGGTGTCTTGGTTACTTTTCTCATTGCTGTGACAAAAGCAACTATTTTAGTTCACTTTTCCATTGCTATAATAAAATACCATAACCAAAAGTGGCTTAGGGAAGAAGGGGTTTATTTTGACTCAGAGTTCCAGAGGGATAGAATCCATCATGGTGGGGAAGGAACAGGAAGCTGGCTTATCACATTTTCATTCACATGCACAGGAGAGAGATAGAGATAGAGATAGAGATAGAGATAGAGATAGAGATAGAGATAGAGATAGAGATAGAGATAGAGATAGAGAAGAGAGAGAGAGAGAGAGAGAGAGACACACACACACACACACACACACACACACACACACACACACGGCTGGCTGTCCCCTAGTATGCAAGTGGGAGAGAGAGAGAGGCAAGTAGAGAAAGAGTATAAACCATCAAAGCCAGACTACACTTCCTCCAACAAGGTTTGGCCTCCTAAAGGCTCCATAACCTCCCCAAACCGCACTACCAACTGGGGACCAAGTGTTCAAATACATGAACCTATGAGGGCCATTTCTCATTCAAACTACCACAGCCATTTAAGGAAGGAAGAAAGGGTTTGTTTTGGCTCCTAATATAAGTCCATCAGGGAGAGTGGGGCATGACAGTGGGAGCCTGAGGCGGCTGCTCAGATGGTCTGTAGTCAGGAAGCAGAGTTGAAGAAAGCGGTTACTCAGCTTACATTATTATTATTATTATTATTATTATTATTATTATTAATTAATTTATTTAAAAACAAATTTTCTTGAGACAGGGTCTCCCTGTAGCCCTGACTGGTCTGAAACTCACTGTGTGGACCAGGTTGGCTTTGAGTTCACAGAGATCTGCCTGCCTTTGTCTCCCAAGCGCTGGGATTAAAGGCGAGTGCCACCACACTCAATCTAGCTCACCTTCTTTGTGTTCAGCCCTGAGCCTCAGCCCATGGCATGATGCTGCCCACATTCAGGGTGGGTCTTCCCACCTCAGTTAAACCTCTTTGGAAACATCTTCATAGATATGCCCAGAATTGTGTCTCTTAATTGATTGTAAATCCAGTGCAGTTGACAATGAAAATTAGTCATCATGGGGAGACTGCCATCCCTTTTCTGGAATGATTCAGGAACTTTTCCTTTATCTCTGCTGGGCTTTGGTCAGGGTGAAAGTCCCAGTCAAATGCTATTAAGTCGTTCCTACCTGGGAAGCTAAGAGCTTGGTCTGTTCTGTCACATGGGTGATTTCATCTAACAATCTCATTTCTGCTTCATTAACAGCCAGGTCATCTGACAGCACTTACTTAGACTCGCTGAAAGGGAGGGAGTCTTCCCCCTCTGAAGAGTGTAGCCTCTCTGCCTCAGTCCCTCCCACTCTCTGGTGTTGTCCCCACCTGGCTGGCATCACTTCCTTATGTTACCTTGTGGTCCAGGTAGATAAGGTGGGAACCATAGATCCAACATCTCACAGGTTTGTGTTGGTTGCACTACCACACCTCCCCTTCACACTGCACTTAGTACCTTCAGCTTTCCAAAACAAACATTAGGCACCAGCTGTATACTGAGCCCCTTTTGGAAGATGAAGCTGTCCTGGAAAAGGGATCCTTGCCCTTACTTTCTATTGCTGTGATGAGATAGTCTGACCAAAAAGCAACATAAAAGAGGAAAGGGTGTATTTGAATTACAGTTCTAGATTTCAGCCTATCATTGAGCGGCGGTCAAGGCAGGCACTCCAGCAGGTAACCACACCCATAGTCAAGGGCAGAGAGAAGCGAGTTCCGGTGCTGCCTGGTGCTTTGGTTTAAGCTCAGCCAGCTTTCTTCACACACACAGTTCAGGGCCCAGGTCAGGTGATGGTGCCACCCACATTCAGGGTAGGTCTTCCCACCTCAGTGAATAATCAAGAAAATCCCCTGTAGGCATGCTGATAAAGCAACTGATAAAGACGATTACTCAAGTGAAACTTTCTTCCCAGATGATTTCATGATATTTAAAACCAACCAGCACTCCCTACCCCCAAACAGGGCTGGTGAAGATGTTGTGTGACTATGCTGTAACTGGGAATATGTGGACAAACATCTATTTGCCCAAGGTAGGGCACCCATGACAGACCAAGGAAATGATTCCACCCTAGCTTAGCAAGCCAGTGAGTCTACTGGGGTTTGTTCTAGTTTGGTTTCTGTTGCTGTGATAAACACCATGACTGAAAGCAACTTGGAGAGGAAAGGATTTATTTGGCTTATGCTTCTCAATCACAGGCCATCATTAAGGGAGGTCAGGGCAAGAACAGAAGCAGAGACCATGGAGGAATGTTGCTGACCAACTTGGTCAGTGACTTTTCTTATACAGCCGAGGCCCACCTGCCAAGGGATGGTAGTATCCACAGTGGGCTAGGCCCTCCTAGTCAACTGGTAATTAAGAAAATACCTCAGGGGCAGGGCCATAGGCCAATCTGATCTGGGAAATTCTTCAGCTGTCTTCCCAGGTGTCCAGTTTGTGTCAAGTTGACAAAAGCTAACTCACCCGGGCCTGAGTGGTGACCCACAAAGCTGCACACTTGAGGCTCCTGCAAGACTTGGCTAGAGAGGCTCTTCTGTCCAGCAATTGTCACTGCTCATATAACTCTGGGATGGGGCCTTGTGACTCCTGTAAATTTCAGGATCTTCCTGAGATTTAAGAGTTTGTTTACTTGTTCAGCCTTGTAAGTTTCCTTTACTTCCTGAGTCTTGGGTGTTTTGTTTCCTTTGTTGGCTGTTTTTTTTTTTTAAGACAGGGTACCCCTGTAGCCCCAACTGACCTGAAACTTACTATGTAGACCAGGCTGGCCTCAATCTCATAGAAATCCACCTACCTCTGCCTCCTGACTGCTGGAATTAAAGGTGTACAGCACCATATGGGGCTTCCTGAGTATTAAAAAAAATTTTTTTTTACTTATTTTTATTTTATGTGTATGAGTGTAATGCCTGTGGAGGTAAGAAGAGGACGTCAGATTTCCTGAAACTGGAGTTACATATGGTTAGCTACCATGTGGGTGCTGGGAATTGAACCTGGGTCCCCTGCAAGAGCAGCCAGTGCTCTTAACTGCTGAGTCATCTCTCCAGCCCCCTTCCTGAGTCTTTAAAAAATTAATTAATGCATATATATGGAAACCAGAGGTCTACATTAGTTGCCATCCTCAATCTCCATCTTAGTTTTTGAGACAGAGTCTCTCACTGAGCCTAGAGCTCACCCATTTGGTTAGTTTAAGCTGGACAACAAGCTCCAGGTATTCTCCCATCTCTCCTCCAGTCCTGGGATTACTGGCTTTTTACCCTGGGTTCGAAAATCAAGTTCCTAAGCTTGTGTGCCCTCTGACTGTGCCCTCTCCCCAGTGCGTACCTCCTGAATCTTAAGAAAACTCCAGGAGGTGAAGTTTCAATGTGGAGGGAATGGCACACAGTAGGCGAGAGTACTGATGTTCAGAGAAGGGAGGTGATTTTGCTGGGGTCTGGGAGCTAGGAAGCAGGTAAGGCCAAGGCTGGACTCATTTCTCTGGTTAAAGGTAATTTGCTTCCCCCTCTCATAGCTGTTAGGAATTTAAAGGGCCAGATTCTTTGGTACACACCGTGTTAATGAATAACATTTGTTGCTGATTACAGTGTGTTGCAGAATTCTATACATTTGCGTCAGGTCGTCTCTATTTGCTTTTCCCAGTCACCATGACAATGGTACCCAAAGTCCAGGCTCAGAGTGATGATTCACGAAAAACTGCATCCCTGGAGCTGCTTGCCAGACTTCCAGGCAGCTCCATCAGAGTCTCCTTTCTCTGGTAATTGTTATGATTGATAGATGATAGATAGGTAGATAGATGATAGATAGATAGATGATAGGTATATAGATGATAGATAGATAGATAATCTCCCTGGGGAGGGCCTGGTGAAATTGGTAGCATCCAGATTTCTTGTGAACTTAATTCATACCCTCCTCCCGCCCCCACACCCCACTGTAGGACTCAAAGACTCCAGGGAGCGGTTACGGCTGTCTGTGTATGCTGATGGTCCTTGATGTTTGAGAATGGGAAGTTACCAGAGCCCAAAGAGGGCTTCTCCACCTGGCGGTTCCTATAGAGCCCAGATTTGAGCCCCAAGCACTGGTTCCGAGCCTACTCTGTTAACTACTGGGCCACCCCAGCATTTTGGTGAGCACCACCAGCAGCAACACACAGGGCCCCAGGATGCTGGTCCTGTCCCCCTAGAGCTTATAGACTTTCAGGGACAAGGGCATAAAATCAGCAGGCTCTCACACACACAACCAAACTCTAGCTTATCAGACTGGTGCCCAAGGCACTTCAGAGCACAAAACAGAAGTAGTACTTAAGGTCTTAAGGGTCAGGGGGAAGCTTCCTTGCAGGAGAGTCTCGACTATGTGACAACCCCAAGTGGTAAAATTCCAGGAGCTAAGCTGGGTGTGATGGCACATGCCTGTAATCCCAGCTCTCAGGAGGCTGAGGCAGGAGGATCACCATGGGTTTGAGGCTAACCTCAAACTATACAGTGAGTTAGAGGGCAGCCGGGCTACACAGCAAGAATCTATCTCAACTTCACTCTGACCCAAACTCCAGGAGCTAAAACAAGGCCAGTAAGGCAAGATGGGGCTGATAAATAAGAACAGGTCTGATTCTCACAGGGACACAGGTGGGCACACCCTGACACACCTTTCCAACAGACCCTGGCTCCATCAGGTCTGGCTTGGTAGGACTGCGGGCTGAGGACTTTGTTCCCTGGAGA